CTAAGGGGTTTTGGGGTGCCCTGGGAGCGTTTAGGAGACCGGGGGTGACTCTAAAAGGGGTTTGGAGTCTCCCTGGGGAAATTTGGGGGGCTGGGGGTGGCCCTAAAAGGGGTTTGGGGTCTCTTTTGGGGGGGCTGGAGGTGGCTCTAAGGGGCTTTGGGGTGCCCTGGGGACACCTGGGAGACTGGGGGTGACACTGAAAGGGGTTTGGGGCCCCCTGGGGGGGGTCTGGGTGTCCCCTGAGTGTCCTGGAGGAAGGACTTGGGCAATCTGGGGGGGCTGGTGACCCCAGGCTGTGGGGGCCACCCTCAGGCCACCCCTGTGGGGACACCACAGCTGGCCCCTCCTGCTGTGTGACAGGGCTGTGACAGGGATGGGGACATCGTGGGGACATTGTGGGGACACCACACACAGCATTCCTGTGGTGTGACAGGGCAGGGGACACCATGGGGACATTGTGGGCACATTGTTGGGACACCATGGAGATGTCATGGGGACACCATACACAGTGTCCCTGTAGTGTGACAGGGCAGGGGACAGCATGGGGACACTGTGGGGACATTGTGGGGACACCACAGACAGGGTCCCTGTGGTGTGACAGGGCAGGGGACATTGTGGGGACATTGTGGGGACATTGTGGGGACATTGTGGGGACACCACACACAGTGTCCCTGTGATGTGACAGAGCAGTGGACACTGTGGGGACATCGTGGGGACATCATGGGGATACCATGGAGACACCACACACAGCATCCCTGCGCTGTGACTGAGCAGGGGACACCGTGGGGACACCACGGGGTGACCGTGTCCCTTGTCCCCCACAGGTGGTGGTGTCCACCACGGTGCACGTGGACGGCCACGTCCTGGCCGTGTCCGACAACATGTTTGTCCACAACAACTCCAAGCACGGCCGGCGTGCCCGGCGCCTCGACCCTTCCGAAGGTCAGGGGACACTTGGGGACATCTTGGGGACATCCTGGGGACGTGCCATGGGACCTTCCAATCCTGGCCTGGCATCCCCAGGGTGATCCCTGTGTCCCCACCCTGCTGTCCCCAAGTGTCTGTGCCCATCCATGTTGGGTGTCCATGGGTGCCTCCCCATCTGTGTCACCACGGCCGCCTGGGGACATCTTGGGGACATTTTGGGGACATCTTGGGGACGTGCCACGGGACCCTCCAAGCCTGGCTTGGCATCCCCACCCTGTGTCCCCACCCTGTTGTCCCCAGTGTCTGGTGGGTCCATCCATGGGTGTCCCTGTTTGTCCCCACCCGTGTCACCATGGTAACACATGCGTGTCCCCTGCTGTGTCCCTGTGGCCACCTGTGATTGTCCCCATCTGTCTCCATATGTCTGTCCCCTGTCATGTCCCTGTGGCCACTTATGTGTCCCCACCCATGTCCTGATGTCCCTGTGCCACCTGTGTCCCACCCCAGCCATGTCCATGTCCATGTCCCTGTGTCCCCATGCCTGTCCCCATCCATGTCCCCATGTCCCCATGCCTGTTTCAGTCCATGTCCCCGTGTCCCCATCCATGTCCCCATGCCTGTCCCCTCCTCCNAGAGGGGACAGAGGGGCCCGGGACACCGGGAGGGGACAGTGGGGACACCGGGGGGCTCCGGGCCCTGAGCGGCATCCCGGGATCCCAAAGAGTCCCCGAAGGGCCTCTGGGGGACCGGGATCGGTTCCTCCATCCCAATCCCAATTCCCAATCCCAATCCTAATCCTCAATCCTACTCCAATTCCCAATCCCATCCCCCATTCCCATCCCAATTTCCATTCCCATCCCCCATTCCCAATCCCAATCCTCAATCCTGCTCCAGTTCCCAATTCCCAGTCCCATTCCCAATCCCGCCCCAAATCCCAAATCCCCAAATCCCAAAATCCCAAATCCTGGATCCTTTCCCAAATTCCTGATCCTAAATCCCCAAATCCCAAATCCCGATTTTCCCGCTCCCAGAATTCCGGAGGATGAGCGGCTCCGCGATCTCAGATCCCAAATCCCAAATCCTGGATCCTTTCCTGGATCCCAAAATCCCAGATCCCGATTTTCCCGCTCCCAGAATTCTGGAGGATGAACAGCTCCAGCAACACGGGGTCGGATCCCAAATCCCAAAATCCCAAATCCCAAATCCCAAAATCCCCAAATCCCCAAATCCCAGATCCCGATTTTCCCGCTCCCAGAATTCCGGAGGATGAGCGGCTCCACGATCTCAGATCCCAAATCCCAAATTCCCCAAATCCCAAAATCCCAAATCCTGGATCCTTTCCCAAAATCCCAGATCCCCAAATCCCAAATCCCGATTTTCCCGCTCCCAGAATTCCGGAGGATGAGCGGCTCCGGCTCCGCGGGGTCGGATCCCAAATCCCAAAATCCCAAATCCCAAATTCCCCAAATCCCCAAATCCCAAATCCCAGATTCTGGATCCTTTCCCAAATCCCAAAATCCCAAATTCCTGATCCCAAATCCCAAATCCCGATTTTCCCGCTCCCAGAATTCCGGAGGATGAGCGGCTCCGGCTCCGCGGGCTCGGATCCCGAATTCCCAAAATCCCAAATCCCCAAAATCCCAAATCCCAAATCCCGAATTCCTGATCCCCAAAATCCCAAATCCCAAAATCCCGAATCCCAAATTCCTGATCCCAAATCCCCAAATCCTGAATCCCCAATCTCAAATTTCCCTCTCCCAGAATTCCGGAGGATGAGCGGCTCCGCGATCTCAGATCCCAAATCCCCAAATCCCAAAATCCCCAAATCCCAAATCCCAAATCCTGGATCCTTTCCCCAAATCCCCGATCCCGATTTTCCCATTCCCAGAATTCCGGAGGATGAGCGGCTCCGACTCCGCGGGGTCAGATCCCAAATCCCAAATTCCTGATCCCAAAATCCCCAAATCCCCAATCCCCGATCCCGATTTTCCCGCTCCCAGAATTCCGGAGGATGAGCGGCTCTGGCTCGGCGGGGCCGGATCCCAAATCCCCAAATCCCCAAATCCCCAAATTCCCAAATCCCAAATCCCAAATCCCGGATCCTTTCCCGGATCCCAAAATCCCAGATCCCCAAATCCCCAAATCCCCAATCCCAAATCCCGATTTTCCCTCTCCCAGAATTCCGGAGGATGAGCGGCTCCAGCTCCGCGGGCTCGGATCCCGAATTCCCGGCGGCTCCGGGCGGGCAGGAGCTCCCGGGCTCGGATCCGGAGCCGTTTGCGGAATTCCTGTGGATGGAGAACGAGGAGGATTTCGATCGCCAGGTGAGATTCCCAAAATTCCCGGAATTTTCCGGCTCTTCCCGAGGAATTCTTTGGGAAAATCCCTGGAGGGGGGGGAAAAAAAACCGGGAAAAAAAATTCCCTGAGGATGGATTTGATCTCCCGGGAATTTTGGGATTTGTTTTTCCTGGAATTGGGCTCATCCTGAATTCCCGGATTTCCGGGAATTTCTGGAGCTGCTGGAACGTTCTGGACTCAGAGAGCTCCGGAATTTGGGAATAAAGAGCTGGAATTGGCTCTGGAGCCTCATCCCGCTCCTGGAACATTCCAGAAAAATCCAGGAAATTCCAGGAAAATCCAGAATATTCCCAGAATATTCCAGAAAAATCCAGGAAAAATCCAGAATATTCCAGAAAATTCCAGGAAATTCCAGAATATTCCCAGAACATTCCAGAAAAATCCCAGAATATTCCAGGAAAATCCAGAATATTCCAGATCATTCCAGGAAAATCCAGAAAATTCCAGGAAAATTCCCAGAATATTCCAAGAAAGTCCAGAACATTCCAGAACATTCCCACAATATTCCAGGAAATTCCCAGAATATTCCAAGAAAATCTGGAACATTCCAGAACATTCCAGAAAAAATCCAGGAGATTCCAGAACATTCCCAGAACATTCCAGAAAAATCCAGAAAATTCCCAGAACATTCCAGGAAATTCCAGAATATTCCAGAACATTCCCAGAAAATTCCTGGAACATTCCAGAAAAATCCAAGAAATTCCAGAACAATCCAGGAAAATCCAGGAAAATCCAGGAAATTTCAGATCATTCCCAGAACATTCCCAGAGAATTCCACAGGAAATTCTAAAATATTCCCAGAACATTCCAGGAAATTCTGGAATATTCCAGAAAATTCCCAGAAAATCCCCTGAACATTCCAGGAAATTCCAGAACATTCCCAGGAAATTCCCAAGAAATTCCAGGACATTCTCAGAACATTCCAGGAATTTTCGAATCGGGAATTTTTTGGGAGGAATTTTGGAAATTTGGGATTAGAAAGGATCGAGCCGTGCCAGGCGGAAAATCGGGAATTCTTTGGAATCTTTGGATCTCCGAGGGTTTTTCCAGGAATTCCGGGGGTTTTTCCATGGGAATCTTGAGAGTTCTGAGGTTTTCTTTGGAATTCTGGGGGTTTTTCCATGGAATCTCCGGAGCTCCAATGGTTTTTCCAGGAATTCCAGGACTTTTTCCATGGGAATCTCTGAAGCTCCGAGTTTTTTCCTGGAATTCTGGTGCTCTGAGAGTTTTCCCGGAATTCCAGGGGTTTTTCCTGGAATTCCGGAGCTCCGAGGGTTTTTCCTGGAATTCTGGGGCCGTTTCCATGGAATCTTTGGAGCTTCGAGAGTTTTCCCGGAATTCCAGAGTTCTGAGGTTTTCCCTGGAATTCTGAGAGTTTTTCCATGGGAATCTCTGGAGCTCTTTTTCCCAGAATTCCAGAGCTCCAAGGGTTTTTCCCAGAATTCCGGGGTTTTTCCATGGAATCTCTGGATCTCCGTGGGTTTTTCCTGGAATTCTGGCTGTTTTTCCATGGGAATCTCTGGGACTCTGAGGTTTTTCCTGGAATTCCAGGGGTTTTTCCATGGGAATCTTTGGAGTGCCGAGGTTTTCCTAGAATTCTGGAGCTCCGCGGGTTTTTCCCGGAATTCCGGCTGTTTTTCCATGGGAATCTTTGGAGCTCCAAGGGTTTTTCCTGGAATTCTGGGGCCGTTTCCAGCGGGAATCTTTGGAGCTCCGAGAGTTTTCCCGGAATTCCAGGACTTTTTCCATGGGAATCTCTGGAGCTCCGAGTTTTTTCCTGGAATTCTGGTGCTCTGAGAGCTTTTCCTGGAATTCCAGGGGTTTTTCCTGGAATTCCAGAGCTCCGAGGGTTTTTCCTGGAATTCTGGGGTTTTTTTCCATGGGAATCTTTGGACCTCGGAGGTTTTTCCCGGAATTCCGGGTTTTCCATGGAATCTTTGGAGCTCCAAGGGTTTTTCCTGGAATTCCAGGGTTTTTTCCCAGAATTCCGGGGTTTTCCATGGAATCTCTGCGGGTTTTCCCGGAATTCCTGGTTTTCCATGGGATGTGCGCGGGTTTTTCCCGGAATCTCGGGTTTTTCCATGGGATCTCCGCGGGTTTTTCCCGGCATTCCGGGTTTTTCCAGGTGCAGGAGGAGCTGCGGGAGCAGGAATTCCTGGATCGCTGCCTGCAGGAGATGCTGGAGGAGGAGGAGCAGCGGGATTGGTTCATTCCCGAGCGGGATCTGAAATCCGGACCCGAGCGGAGCCAGGAGATCCTGGTGAGCACCGGCCGCGATTCCCGCGGGAATTCCCAGTCCAGGGATCCCCAAATCCCGGGAATTCCCCAAATCCCGGGAATTCTCAATCCAGGGATCCCCAAATCTCGGGAATTCCCCAAATCCCGGGAATTCTCAATCCAGGGATCCTCAAATCCCGGGAATTCCCAGTCCAGGGATCCCCAAATCCTGGGAATTCTCAAATCCTGGGAATTCCCAGTCCAGGGATCCCCAAATCCTGGGAATTCTCAATCCAGGGATCCCCAAATCCCGGGAATTCCCCAAATCCCGGGAATTCCCCAAATCCTGGGAATTCCCCATTCCAGGGATCCCCAAATCCCGGGAATTCCCAATCCCTGGGATCCTCGAATCCTTGGGATTCTCCCATCCCTGAATTCTCCAATCCCTGGGATTCTGCAGTTCCTGGGATCCCCAAATCCCGGGAATTCCCCAAATCCTGGGAATTCCCAGTCCAGGGATCCCCAAATCCTGGGAATTCCCCAAATCCTGGGAATTCCCCATTCCATGGGATCCCCGAATCCTGGGATTCTCCCATTCCTGGAATTCCCCAATTTCTGGGAATTCTCCCATTCCCAGGATCCCCAAATCCCGGGAATTTTCCATCCCTGAATTCTCCCATTCCTGGGATCCTCAAATCCCGGGAATTCCCAATCCCTGCGATCCTCGAATCCTTGGAATTCTCCCATCCCTGAATTCTCCAATCCCTGGGATTCTACAGTTCCTGGGAATTCCCCAAATCCCGGGAATTCCCCATCCCTGGATCCTCAAATCCTTGGAATTCTCTCATTCCTGGAATTCTCCAATCCCTGGGATCCCCAAATCCTGGGATTCTCCCATTCCTGGAATTCCCCAATTTCTGGGAATTCTCCAATCCCTGGGATCCCCAAATCCTTGGAATTCTCCCATCCCTGAATTCTCCAATCCCTGGGATTCTACAGTTCCTGGGATCCCCAAATCCCGGGAATTCCCCAAATCCCTGGAATTCTCCATTCCATGGATCCCAAATCCCGGGAATTCTCCCATTCCTTGGAATTCTCTCATTCCTGGAATTTTCCAATCCCTGGGATTTCCCCAATTCCTGGGAATTCTCCAGGCTCTGGGATCCTCAAATCCTTGGAATTTTCCCATCCCTGGAATTCTGTAGTTCCTGGGAATTCCCCAATCCCTGGAATTCTCCCATTCCTGGAATTCCCCAATCCCTGGGAATTCTCCTGCCCTGGGAATTCTCCCATTGTTGGGATTGGTCAATCCTTGGAATTTTCCCATCCCTGGAATTCTGTCCCTGGAATTTTTTCCTGGCTCCCCATCCCAAAATCCCTTCGGAATTTCCGGATCCCTCCCCGGCCCCATCCCAGAATTCCCCAAAATCCCCTGAGAACTTCCCCCAAACCCATCCCGACCTCCAGGAATCCCAAACTCCGGGAATTCCCAGGAAAAATCCCCAAATTCCCGAACCTGATCCCAAAATTCCCGATCCTGATCCCAAAATTCCCAACCCTGATCCCAAAATTCCGAATCCCGATCCCAAAATTCCCAACCCAGGTCCCAAAATTCCCAATCCTGATCCCAAAATTCCCGAACCTGATCCCAAAATTCCCAACCCTGATCCCAAAATTCCCCAAACCCGATCCCAAAATTCCAAATTTTGGGAAATTCCCAATCCTGATCTTAAAATTCCCAACCCCGATCCCAAAATTCCCGAAACTGATCCCAAAATTCCGGATCCGGATCCCAAAATTCCCAGTCCTGATCCCGAAATTCCTGACCCTGATCCCAGAATTCCTGATCCCGATCCCAAATTTCCCAACCCCGATCCCAAAATTCCCGATCCTGATCCCAGAATTCCCGTTTTATTCCAGAGCAAAAGCTCCCTGAACCCGGACGCCAAGGAATTCATTCCCGGAGTGAAATATTGACCGGGAAGAGCCGGCAGAGACTGATCCCGATCCAGGGAAAATCCGGGAAAAGCCGGGAAAAGCCGGGAAAATCCGGGAGAGGCTCCGGCTCCCGGGATCGGATCCGGATCCGAACGTTTTGGGGATTTTTTCCCGTTTTTTTGGGGTTTTTATTGGAGTTTTTGGGGTTTTTTGGGGGTTTTTTGGGAATGGGAGGGGGAATTGTGGGAAAACGATGGAAAAATGTGGGGAAAGGATGGGAAAAATGGGGGAAATCGTGGAAAATGATGGGGAAATGATGGGGGAAATAGTGGGGAAAAATCAGGGATAAAAGGTGGAAAAATCATGGAAAAATTATGGGGGAAAAATGGGAAAAAATGGGAAAATCTTGGGAAAATCACGGAAAAATAATGGGAAAAATCATGGGGGGAAAATGGGAAAATCCTGGGAAAAATGTGGAAAAATATTGGGGAAAATCATGGAAAAATCTTGGGGAGAATTGGGAAAATCCTGGGGAAAAAAAAGGGAAAATATTTGAAAAATAATGGAAAAATAATGGGGAAAAAATGGGAAAATCGTGGGAAAAATTATGGAAAAAAACATGGAAAAAA